GACTTTGCCCCTGCTGATGTCCTTCTGGACCCTGGTGCCCAGCCTGACATTGACCTGTAACATGGTTCCTGACCCTTACCGGGGCAGGACTCTGCTCATAGCCTGGACTCTTCCAGCTGTAATTTTGATTCTCCTGGCCCCCCAGTGGGAGCCCTGGGGCATAGTGGTGATGCCTTGGGCCCCCTAGGTGAGGTTCCCAGTGTGAGAGCAGCAGCCTCTCAGAGGGAGACAGATGAACTTTCTATATCCTAAAAGAGTTATAGTCCCTGAAACCCACACAGGCAGCTCTACCCTGCCCGACACGGTCGCTAGGAGTCACAATCCACTCAATGGCAGTGGGTTCTGCTTTTGATTTTTGCCTTTTCAGTGACCAAGAACGTGGCCCAGGCGGGCAGGGACCGAAACACTATCCGCACTGAACTACTCCGGGCGATGGAGGGTGCCAAGTTCGGGAACAGTGAGCACCATGGGGTGGGGAGGAGGGGGCCACAGTGGCACTCTGTTTGGGCCTCTAGTCCTCTCTTAGGGTCCTTACTTTGATCTTGGTTCCAGTGCCTTGGGGGCTGCCTCTGCCTTTGGGTTCCAGCACACCCAATTCTCTGGGCTGTCCCATCAGGGAGGCGGAGCCATTCTTGACCCGTATCTGCCCCTGCAGAGTCCTGTGAGCCGTGCCCCACATCGTGGCTGCCTTTTGGGGACTCCTGCTACTTTTTCTCGGAGCAGCGGGGCAATTGGGAATCGGCGGTGAAGAGCTGTGGGAACACAGGCGCACACCTCGTGATTGTCAATGACCTAGAAGAGCAGGTGTTCAGTGGGCCAGGGGAGGTGCTGTGCACTGGTGGGCTTCAAGGGGCTGGTGGGGGCACGAGGCGCGCACTCATAAGTGAGGCAGGGAGAGGGGAGGGGCCCACACAGAATGACTTGCCGTCCCATTTTCCCCCCTCCCACCCAGAACTTCTTGAGCGCAAACACGAGTGGGCGTGGCTTCTGGCTGGGCCTCAAGGCTGTGCGTCACCTGGGCAAGATCCAGAGCTACCAGTGGATGGATGGCGTCCAGCTGACTTTCAGGTGAGGGCGGGGCACCTGTCGCTGTCGGAGAGAGGCTGGTCTGATTCTGCAAAGCGCATTGGCTAGCTCTCAGGGGCTCCTCTGCTCAGGCTCAATATGAAACAAAAACCTCAGTGCCATCAAATTGATTCGGACTCAATAATGGCCCTATCGGACAAGGTAGAAGTGCACCTGTGGGTTTCCAAGTCTGTCACTCTTTACAGGAGTAGAAAACGTAGTATTTCTCCTTCAGAGTAGCTGGTGGTTTTGAACTGCTGACCCTGCAAGAAGAAGCCCCATACACAACCATTATGCCTCCACGACTCCTCAGGCTAGACCTCAGGGACTGGCTGAAAAAAGCATATCCCAGGGTCATGTTCAAGCTAGTCTCAGGTGCTAAGGTTAGACCTAAGAAATAATCAGCTTGGCACACCTTCCCGACACAACCACTGAAGACAAAGTGGGTGAATAAGCAAATGTGGTGAAGAAAGCTGATGGTGCCCAGCTATCAAAAGATATAGCATCTGGGGTCTTAAAAGCTTGAAGGTAAACAAGCGGCCATCTAGCTCAGAAGCAACAAAGCCCACATGGAACAACATATCAACCTGTGTGATCACGAGGTGTCGAACGGATCACTGAAGACAAATGGGTGCATAAGCAAATGTGGCGAAGAAAGCTGATGGTGCCCGGCTATCAAAAAGTATAGCGTCTGGAGTCTTAAAGGCTTGAAGGTAATCAAGAGGCCATCAAGCTCAGAAGCAACAAAGCCCACATGGAAGAAGCACACCAGCCTATGCAACCACGAGGTGTTGAAGGGATCAGGTATCAGGCATCATCAGAACAAAAAATCTTACCATAGTGAATGATGCGGGGAGTGCGGAGTGGAGATCCAAAGCCCATTAGTAGGCCACTGGAGATCCCCTTGCAGAGGGGTCTCGGGGAGGAGATGAGCCAGTCAGGGTGCGATGTAACAACGATGAGAAATACAACTTTCCTCTAGTTCCTAAATGTTTCCTCCCCACTCCCACTACCATGACTCGAATTCGGCCTTGCAGGTCTGGCTAGACCAGAGGATGTACACTGGTACAGATAGGAGCTGAAAATACAGGGAATCCAGGGCGGATGAGCCCTGCAGGACCAGTGGTGTGAGTGATGAAACAGGGAGGGTAAAGGGAGAATGGGTAGGGAATGGGGAGCCAATTGCAAGGAACTATATGTGACCTCCTCCCTGGGGACAGACAGCCGAGAAGTGGGTGAAGGGAGACGTCGGACAGGGCAAGATATGACAAAATACCAATTTATAAACTATCTAGGGCTCATGAGGGAGAGGGGAGCAGGGAGGGAGGGGAAAAATGAGGACCTAATGTGAGGGTTTAAGTGGAGAGAAAATGTTTTGAGAATGATGTACAAATGCGCTTTACACAATTGATGTGTGTATGGATTGCGATAACAGTTGTATGAGCCCCTAATAAAATGTTTAAAAAAAAAAAAAGAAAGAATCAGCTTGAGCCCAGGCCGATCGTCAGCAACATTCCCATCCCACCGCTGCAGCCACTGGAATGTGGGGGAACCCAATGACACTTGGAGGAGAGAAAGCTGCATCATGATGCTGAAATCGGGTTGGTGGAACGATGCACTCTGCGGGAATGAGAATGGCAACTGGATCTGTGAGAAGAGGCGCCGCTGCTGATCCTGAACTCTACAATCACTCCCCTGCATCAGGGCTCCGCCCAGTTGCCCACAGCCACGCCCACTGCCATCACTTCCCGCCTCCAGACTCCTCCTGTACACAGTACCCTGGTTTTTCCACCCAGGTTTGAGACCTGGGTGCTTTGATCCCACCTCCCTGTAGTCCACATTCGGGTGACGCAGAGATTCCTCAGAGCTGTAAGCAGCCAGCCCCCAAACCCTTCTCTGCACCCTGTACAATGCAGCGTGCTGCAGCACACCTCTCCTGCCCACGAGGAGCTCTGGGACCTCTGGGTAGACGACTGGCTCAGCCAGTCTGAAGCCTTTCCAGACAGCTCTTGTCCCTCCATCTCTCACCACACTGGGTGGACCCTGTCTTGTGAGCTCTCTTGGAAGCCCAGGGGAGCGTCAATAAATATTTGAGAATTGAATCTTGGCTCCTGTTCTTAGCTTCTAAGGCCCGAAAAGCCAACCTTTGAAAACACCATGGAGCACAGTTCTAATCTAACACACAGAGGGGCACCAGGTGTCTAGATCAACAATACCAGGACAATGTACTAATGAAGTGTCCAGGCCCGAAGCCTTAAATAGAGGGGCAGTTTCTCACGAACACCACTATTTCTCCAGCCCCTGCCAAGAGGCTTAGCTCCAAGGGTGCTGTGGAAGCAGACGTGGACCATACTGGATCTGTTTCCCCAAACCGTCCCATACAGCAGGGCAAAGATGTCAGGGCTCTGGGTCGATGTCTCTGTTCTTCCATGCTGCCTTGACTTCCGTTCTTCTTTTGTTTGAAACTAGCCTGTGTCACTAAAGAATTTAACCCACTTTCAATTCTACTTTTCCTCCTTTTATAACCTTTCAGACCAGTGTGTAGAGCTGATGCGTCAGGAATCTAAAAGTTGCTCAGGCTGTGGCCCTTCTCCTTCTGTTTTTTAAAAAAATATTCAGTTCTATTCATTGCAATTCTCACCTTGTTCTTTATGGGATATAACTTATACAAAGATAAACATAGTGGACATAGTTGCACAGCCCAGCCCATCCAGTGACAGTATCCCAGGAAGCCTCTGGTTATATGGTTCTCCTTTTGTCTTTCTGTACCGACCCTTCTTCTGTATTTTCCTGTCCCTTCCTTCGCCGTAGTCTTCAAACCCATTTCCATCGGCGTGAACGCCATATTATTTTTTTCCTTTATAATAATAGTGCCATAAAATATTTATCTGTGTGAAACTAACTTTGCTTCGCCTAAATAATCTGTTTGGGTTTTGTTTTCATTGTGGCAAATATATACGTAACCAAGCATTTTGCCGCGTAGACAAGCTCCACATGCATAATTCAGTGACATTATGTTCATCGCATCATTCAGTCACCACCTTTGTCTGGTTCGAAATGCTTCATCATCACGGGAACTTTTGATCAGGGCTTCGATCCAGTAAGAAACAGCCAATCAACGCTGACAGAATGTAAGCATTGCCCATCAAGCACATCTCTTGCTCCTGGAGACAGGAAGTAGCTACTGCAAGAAGGCAGCTGGCATGCACTCAAAGTCATCTTTGAGTTGGCTCTGATACCTGTGCCCCTCATGCAAGAGATGTGGCTGTTACATCACCAGTATGCCCCATCAGCCATGACTGAACCAGTCTTAGCATACCTTTCTATCTAAATTCACCTTGCCCTCCCAATGTTTCCTACCTCCGTTAGGGAGACTCTCCAAGATTTCGCTGCAGAGAGAGGACCAACGGAGGAAAGTGACTGAGGCCAGCAGCAGGACTCGATCTAGAACCAGAGGCTGCTGGGGATCCCCAGGCTGGGGATCCCCTGACAACATCCACAGAGCAGGGAGAGGCGGGACCATGAACCAAACTTCTTGCCAAACAGAGACATCTCAGAGCTATAACCAGCCAACCTCTGAAAGCTTCTCTAGACCTGTACAATTGCAGCATGCTACGACACACCTAGCATCCCCAGGAAATGTGCAACTGCTGGAGAGACTAATCACTAAGTCAGTCTGATGACTCCCCAGACAGTCGCCTGGGCAAAGTGTATGAATCCCTTGGGAGAAGTGTTGCTGCAGTAACATAGCACCCGGCACAGGGTGGCTTAAAACAACACCATTTGTCCTCCAGAAGTTCTGGAAGCCAGAAGTCTAGAAGATCAGCGGCGTGCTACACTGATAGTTCTGAATGTGAGGAAGGGGCCTTGAGCCAAGGAATGTGTGTAGCTTCTTGAAGCCTAAAAAGGCAGAGAAACATAGACAGTGTGGTGCTGCCTTTAGGGGACATTTTGACCCTTTACTTTGTCAAGTGTGATATCCTTCTACATGGACTGGTTCCTCTTGATCACATGCCCAAAGTACATGAGACAAAGTCTCTCCTTCTTTGCTTCTAAAGAGCAGTCTGGCATCTTCTCCCAAGATGGATTTGTTCATTCTGTTGGCAGTCTATGTTAGATCCAATATTGATTATTCCATAGCTTAATTATTAAATAGAATATCAATTATTTAACATGCTATTGATTGTTCAATATTGAGACTGGAAGAACTTCCAAATCTAATGCCCAGAAATAATATTTAAACCTAGAACCAAAGCTATCCCATGAAGCTATCAATAAACAAATCAACAATTTAGCCCAATTCATAATGAATGTTTACTACAAGGACAGCGTTCTTATAAAGAATTATCTATGTGAGCACCGACGGACAATGGTTACATGAAGCACTCGCAGGGGCAGAGAGCCTAAAGTGATGGTGGAGGTGATGAACAAGATCGGGAGATACTGGGAATGATGACACAGTATCAAGGATGGCATCAGTACCACTGAATTGTTCATGGTGAAATTGTGGGTGCATGAATATAAATACATATATATACGTATGTATATGTACATATACTTAAAAAGAAGGAAGTAGATGGTCTAGAGTCCACAGAGGGATTCCACAGGCCTGCTGGTGTTCTCCTTCATCCCTATCACAAATCCATCTTGTGTTTAGCCTTGTGAGACTTATATTGGACTTCTTATCTCCAGAGCTACAAGAGGATACATTTGTATCATTTGAATCATTCAAGGCCATATGTTACAGTATCAAGAGGAAAGGAATACACATCTAATGTATGGATGAACTCATCCATAATGCAACCACCTGTCACACAGGAGCAGCTCAGTATGACAATCTTGCAACCTGCCTCAACACTTCTGTAGGGACCGGTGTACCCCAATAAGAGCAACTACCTGTAACTCAACAAAAAGATGCTGAAACATCTGTAATAAACTTCTCATTCAACCCTATCATGGAGCCTCCACTTGTGACACATCTCTAATTCCCGCATCAACTAATAACACACATGTAACTAACTTACCTATTTCCCAGGTAGTCAGTTGCCATTGAGTTAGCCTGAGTTCGTGGCAAGCTTGTGCACCACAGAACAAGAGTGACCAGTCCTGTTGCTTCGTGCTCATGACTGCTGGTACGATCGAGTCCTTTGTTGGGCCAATCCACCACACTGAGCATCTCCCTTGACCCCACCGACCCTCTGCGTCACCAAACCTGATCCCTCCTCCGGCAATAGATCTCTCCTGATGATGTGTCCAAAACAACCACACTGGAATGTCCTGCTGTGATCCACCAGGTTTCCATTGACTACGTTTTAGAAGGAGATCACTGAGTCTTTCTTCCTAATCTATTCTAGGTTGAGGCTCCACTGAACCTTGCAGCATAGATGAGGCTGCTGCTACTTACACCCCGGTGGCTCGGCTTCCAGCACCACAGACACACGCAAGCCACCACAGTGACAGAGAGGCAGGAGTTACCTTACCCAGGATGACCTTACCTCTCTGCTGGCCTCAAGCTGCCCTAGTCGGCACTTGTTGTCCCAAGGGTAATTCCAATTATTCTTCTGGTTTTCTCTCCCTTTCCTCCTCCTCCCTTAATTGGGGGATAAATTGGATACAATAAAGTGCACCCACTTCAAGCACACAATTCAATGAGCTTTGACCAAAAAAATGCAGTTGCTGTAGTCACCATCACCACCACCCCATACAATTCCCTCTGCCAATTCCCACCCCCTCCTAACCCCAGGCCACCACTGATATTCTTCCCATCACTATCTATTAGACATATCTTTCCTAGAATTCCATAGGAAGTCAACCATCCAATGTCTTTCTTCCTAGTGCTGCTCAGCACAGCGCCATGTGCAGGGGACTATAAGGCGGTGGGAACTTTGTTGCCCAGTTCCAGGAGCTAACAGTCAATGTCAGGGTCTTGGCTCTGTTGATTCCTTCCTTCCATTAGTCTCAGGTGCTCCTTGGCTTATAGAAGGTCTTCACAAAGCATTTGTCTTCCTCTAAACCAGTGGTCCTCAACCTTCCTAATGCTGCAACCCTTTAATACAGTTTCTCATAGTGACCCCCAACCACAAAATTATTTTCGTTGCTACTTCATAACTGTAATTTTGCTACTGTTATGAATTGGGCCACCCCTGTGAAAGGGTCGTTCGACTCCCAAACGGGTCATGACCCACAGGTTGAGAACCGCTGCTCTAAACCACTCCCCCTTCTTACTACATGTCTCTGTGTGACAGACAGACTTCTGCCAAAACAGCTATTTGTAGTCTAGAGACAGAACACATGCTAGTAAAATGCTTTTTTTCAACTGAATTATTAGATCTCAGTAGGCGGCATGAGGGGAAGCCATTACATGACAGCTGCATTACATCTACCAGCAAGTGCTTCCAGTCCTCTCAGCAAAGTTGTGTCATCTGCACATCACCGTTTTTAATAAGCTGTCCTCCAATCACGAGGCCACATTCTTCTTCATGTGATACAGTTTTTCTAACAATATGCTCAGCTTATAGATTGAAGGAGAATGGTGAGAGGATACCAGCCTGACACACCCTTTCCTTGACTTTAAACCATGTACAATTAGCTCTTGATCCATAGACAGGTTCCTCACGACCACAATGGCGTGTTCTAGAAATCCCATTCTTCTCCAGCCTACCCATAGTTGGTTATGATTCACGCCAGTCCAATGTCTTTGCATAGTCAATGAAACGCAAGTAAAAACCTTTCTGGTAGTCTCTGCTTTTAGGCAACATCTACCTGGCATCAATGATATCTCTTGTTTCACATCCAATTCTGAATCCGGCTGGAACCTCTGTCAGCTTCCTGTCAATGTACTGCCGCAACCGTTGTTGGATGGTCTTCAGCAAAATTTCACTTGCCTGGGATATTGAGACTGTTCTATAAAATGAGCATCTGTGGGGTCACCTTTCCATGGAATGGGTCCAAATAGGGGTCTCTTACAGGCCGTTGCTCAAATGGCTGTCTCCCAAATTTCCCGGCGTAGAT